CACATACCATGGTTTTCCGACTATATCGACAATACAAATTATTTACCACATTCAAATATGCTTGTTTCTGGGATCCTTACTAATGTTTATAATAAGCTGACTTTGCATCCAGCAAAAAGTTCACATGTTCTTGCTTTTACAAATGATTTTTGATAACTTACAAGTATTTTCATTATTATAGGTCTTTCAACATTAATTAAATCTCTCATAACCATTTCTTCACTATTTATTTATCACAATGATTTGATAAATTACTGAAGGCCAAAACCAAGCTATTCTTTGACCAATTTCATTCCAAGCTTGTTACAAATGTATCCGATTCGTGAGCCTCTCAGAGACTTAGTAAGAACATCTGCCAACTAGTTGATAAGTTGCATAATTTGAGTGTTTTTAGGTTATTTTGATGTTAGTTTAGTTAACTTCTCAATTTTTTTCTTTTTTTTGATGTTTGTTTTTGTTAAGTTTGAGATATGAATGGTTACCTATTGATTTGGATAACTTTTGTGTTTTTTTTAGGCTTTGATTGAGTAGATTGGAGTATTGGAGTGAAATTGGGACTTAAAGCTTGAAAAAGTTGAGATTACCTAACATTCTTGAAGGCCACGACCATGCCTTGGTAGTTCACCATGGAAAAAAGAGAAAACAAAAAGACCAAGAAACACCACGGCCTAGGCTGTGGTGACTGAAATTTGGCCACGGCCAGGGTTGTGGCGAAAACTAATAGGGCGTTTTTATCAGTTTTTCTTTCCTTTTTCACTTAGGACTCTTTTGGGTATTTAAGTATAATTGAGATCAGTTGTCAAGGGACGAATTTTGCATATTTTTTAGAGGAGAAGACGCATTATTGAGGCTTGAAGACTGAAGATCAAATTTAAGAGTTTGATTTTTATTTCTTTTCAAGTTTGAATATGTTTTCCTTCTTCTCTATTTATTTCTTTGTTCTTAGGATGGAGTAAATTTTTTTTGTTAGGGGAGGATGAAACCCTAATTATGTTTTGAAAAATTTTTATTCTAAATACCAGATTTATGTTTATGAATTTGTACAAGAGTTTAGGTTTAATGCTTTATGAATGTTGGATTGATTCAATTACCTTAATGATGTTTCGAATAGAGAAGTTAGGGTTTATTGCTTAATTCATAGTTGTAATTGTTTTATTGGAATAACATTGCGCAACATATTAAAACTAGAAGTAATCGAATAGAGATTCTAGGATTAATTTGTTGTCCATCTAATTCATAACCGAATAGGGCAAATTAGTCGTAAAAGATTGATGAATTTATGCTTCTTAATTTCAAAGTAACCGAATAGGGATCTGTATTAAGTTGAATATTATGCCTGAATAAGGATAATTGGCCTTAGAGGAATCCTACCAATTCATAGCACAAACAGGTATTAAGAGTAGTTGTCAAGCACAATTAGGGGGAAATCTATACCCTAACTTCATTAATCCTGCAAAGTTCTTCACATTGTTTATTTGTTTAATTTAGTTATTTTTAATCTGTTACTTTTGTTAGGAAACGATCAAGTTACGTAGTGGAAAACAAAAATTTACAACAACGGATTGTTCTTTAGAACCCAAAATCAAGGCATAGAAATTACAGTTTATACATTATAAGAATCTGCAGGAAAAATCAGGTTGAAATTTAGAAACCATACCCACGTTTGGAGGCTACTTTGTCTCTGAATGTATTTGCTACTGACCCGAGTGTAGGATCGAACCGATATAGTCCACACGAAGATAATTGCAAGGAACTAAATAGGGATTTGCTAGATCCTCTTTAGCCTTAAGAACAAAGAAGGAAACGAATAGTATTTGATTTTTCAATCAAAACTAAAACTGGTGTGGGAGAGAGTTTTGTGGGGCTGTGGGTTTTTCTTTTTCAATAAAAGAATGAATGAAAATGAATCTCTTCCCTTTTTCAACGAAAATTTACTGTTTAAAAACAAGGTAATTCAAGAATGAATAACCCATATGGGCAGGTCTCAGAACTTCGTAATAAATTGAGCTTTGTCGGTTGAAGACTAATTGAAATTCATAAAACTGTTATTCTACGCCATACGCTTCAATGATCTCTAATTCAAGATCTTAGCTAGGTTGATACATATATAATTAACGAACTTAACAATACATATCACTGAAATTAGCAAACTTGCACGTTTAGAGAGCAACCAATCCATCATAATCCCAAACAAATCTTCATTTGGCATTGGCAACATAAAATGCACAGATTTAATAAATCAGAGTTGTCGGACATAGCACAACCTAAATGATTGTGGCATATCCAATCAATAACTTGTAATGATACACATCATTTCAATCATTATTTTGAAAGCTATTATTGGCAATGGTTCAAGCCCTCAACCAAGCTAACAGCCTTAATCTCAACATCCAAGGTTGCTCTTCAACACCTGTCAACTTATAAACACACTATCAAATTCTTAGCAATCAAAAACGTTCTTCAATCCATGATTTATTTCCCTAACATCCATTGCCATTCTAGAAAATTTTGATATGGTTTTTGTTTGTAGTCAACTTAAGCCAAGCTGTGAGAAAATGACATAAAACATGGGTCATTTCCCAGATAAGCCAATGCTTAGTATTGATAAGCTAGTTCGAGCTAAATTTCACCATTCTGACATACAAAGACCCATGCTACTTTCATCAAATGCTCCATATCCCTCTAATACAATTATTCAAAATTTCGTCTTCCTAACTTTCTGTTTAAAAACAAGGTAGTTCAAAATGAATAACACATGGGCAGGTCTCAGAACTTGCAAAATTGTTAAACTAATAAACTTTGTCGGCTGAGACAATTGAAATTCATAAAACTGTTATTCTACGCCATACGCTTCAATGATCTCTAATTCAAGATCTTAGCTAGTTGATACTATATAATTAAGAACTTCATACAATATCACTGAATTAGCAATTGCATGTTTAAATGAAATTAAACATCTTTTCTTCCGCGGAATCAATTGGCCTCTAATTCGCACCATGGTAGGAGAGGACTACTTGCATTTTACCATATTGAATTCTCAAACAGCAAATGATTTAATATCGAATGTTTCTCTATGCCTATGCAGAGCCAGCCTCCACTAGATGTACCTCCTAAGTTAATTGAAAAAAATCTGAAAGCCAAAGATGTCAAGTGGGAAGATGATGGAGTGTTTGTTAATCCTGTAGATTTGGACCTTTTCTAAAGGTTTGGATTAACAACCATTTCTAATGTTAAACATAAGACTTCAGATTGACTCTGCTATGCACTCCCTTTATTGCGGATTCATGTTTTCTCTTATCATATGACCAGAAATGGGTTACAAACAATGAAGGTGAGATGGAGGAGGTTTTGTCATCGTGTCATGTCATCCTAAACCTAAAGTAAAGCATGTATGTTGTTTTATTTGATTTCTGTGGAGAATTAAGACTTTGCCCTGTAATTAACCATGTAATATAACTCAACACTTCCCATCTCTCCCATTCTTTTTGAGACTTTGCTATGGCGTAGTTGTAGATATCCAGCTTTTGTTTCATTTTGTGATTCTGCTATGGCGTAGTTGTAGATATCAAACTTCTGCTTAACCAGTGAACAAAGTGTTATAAATAAAGCACAATTCACCATTCTCCCTGTCAGCTCACAGATGCACAATCTAATCTTGAACCATGCATAACAGGTCAAGCATTTCAGTTCCTATAAAAACATAAATTTTCCATTCCTCAAATTGTGAGAATGTGATAACTTACAAATTCTCACCCTTTACATCGCCATTAACTTACAACACCATTGCTGTCAAAATCTGCTCTTAATCAAAGTGGTATCTTTTGGTAATTTAAAGTATATAAGAGACAATAATTCAAAAAGAACATGTAATATATATCCAGAATATAGCAAAATCAACGACTCACTAACAAAACATACTGTTGCTTTGCAAATTACAGCAAGAAATACAGGCAAATGTTGCAGTCGTATAGTGTCTTTACATGAAAAGGCTTGGATCAGCTGTATAGACGCATCAGCCAAATTTATCACACTGTTAATACACAAATCTGATAAGCAACCAAGTATACAATTCTTGCGAGATCCTTACCGTGCAATTCAGCTCTTGACAAGGAAATTTAAGATGAAATTGAATACAGATAGCACTTCAAAGTAGACCAAAACATGCACAACCACAATTATGTTACTCTACTTGGTGGCCTGTGCAATTATATTACTTATTGAACCGGTCTGTTCTTTTGCAGTCTCCACCAATGAGTCCTACAACATTAAAAAAAATGATACACTAAAAAATTAAAAAATATATGAAAAACTGACAACCAAAACCCACTGTGACCAAGAAAAAGAAATTATACCTGAGCAGCTATTAGACGTGCAACTGTTTTCTTGCTTGACTCTTGAAGTTCACCAGCAATCAAGAGTTCATCCAAAATATAATAGGCCTATAACATAAACGACTGTTAGCAATTAGCAAAGACACAGATTTTGGCATCCATGCAATATAAACTGATCTACGCTAGATAAGCAAGAGGGCATTAAATTAATAAGGTATTTTGGGCAGTCACTTATTGCATCAATCACCATTTATGATATAAAAAAACCCTTTCAGAAAGGAAAATCCCAAATGCAAAACAAGCCCATTGCAACATACATTGTGAAAGTTGAAGATCAAGTCCAGCTCAAAGAAATGGAAGCAAAATTAGATTACCACAAACGTCAGTTTCTATACTAATCAAATGGAATTATACACTTTAATTCACTTAGTGATCTTATACAAAGTAAAGTCAACTTCACTCACACTTCCAAAGTATCTGTCAAGAATCTCAACATAATGATGAATTATTTCAGGGACCTCTAATTCATTGTCATCCTGATCAATGCACATGCAGAAGTATAGACTAGCATATGTGCAAAACATATTTATTGGAACCAACTCAGTTGATCATCTCTATGATGGTGAAACGTATTCATTGAGTCACAAATACTGTCATATTTGCATATACCTTTTATAAACAACTTTGTATCCTCTCCATTCCACGAAATTACAGAGCTTGGGTCCTCGTGAAAGAATGACTCCACTGAGCTCACGAATAACCTTCTCAGACAAAGCAGCAGTTCAAACAAATCATCAATGTAACCACAGCTGTTACAATAAGTTGAGAAAATGATACCATAACGATCATTTATCCAACACAAGGCAGGTCCTTTGAAAATAAAATTAATAATTAAGATCTAAAGAGAGAATATCTGAGCGACATGGATTTAAAACCATACCTTAGTTCGTTCCTTTTGTGAATAAGGAGAATACCATTTAGTCAACCGGACTTTTCCTTGTCGGCTAATAAGAAGCACAAATTGAATCTGAAACATATTGAAGATAAAAAATTATAGAACATCAGCAAAGTAAAACCATTAATCTTCATTTGGCATTGGCAACATAAAATGAACAAGATTTAATAAATCAGAGTTGTCGGACATAGCACAACCTAAATGATTGTGGCATATCCAATCAATAACTTGTAAATGAATACACATCATTTCAATCATTATTTTGAAAGCTATTATTGGCAATGGTTCAGGCCCTCAACCAAGCTCAACAGCCTTAATCTCAACATCCAAGGTTGCTCTTCAACACATGTCAACTTTATAACACTCTATCAAATTCTTAGCAATCAAAACATGTTCCTTCAATCCATGATTTATTTCCCTCAACATCCATTGCCATTTCCAGAAAATTTTGATATGGTTTTTGTTTGTAGTCAACTTAAGCCAAGCTGTGAGAAAATGACATAAAACATGGGTCATTTTCCAAGATAAGCCAAATGCTTAGTATTGACAAGCTAGTTCGAGCTTAAATTTCACCATTCTGACATACAAAGACTCCATGCTATCAAATGCTTCCATATCCCTCTAATACAATTATTCAAAATTTCGTCTTCCTGACTTTCTGTTTAAAAACAAGGTAGTTCAAGAATGAGTAACCCACATGGGCAGGTCTCAGAACTTTGCAATAAATTGTTAAACTAATATAACTTTGTCGGCTGAAGACCAATTGAAATTCATAAACTGTTATTCTACGCCATACGCTTCAATGATCTCTAATTCAAGATCTTAGCTAGGTTGATACATATATAAGTAATGTACTTGACAATAAATATCACTGAAATTAGCAAACTTGCACGTTCAGAGAGCAACGAATCCATCATAATCCCAAACAGTTACTCAAACATTCATCTAATAATGCGATTACGAAGTCAGATCTAACGGTGACAATATATCACCTAAATATAAAAATCAGTTCAAGAACAATGCATCAGCTGAACCAAAACCCCCAAATCTAATGTAATATTTCAATAAATGAAGAACTCCAAAGAAGTTATTTCATAAAAATGAATAAACGCGGTAGATCTAAAGAAACGGAATTCGATGGATCAATCCTCCATTAAGCTAATGAAATCAACAAACAACGACAGTACAAATTTCACATACCATGGTTTTCCGACTATATTGACGATAGAAATGAAATTGTCGTCGGTCACCAATAAATTATGTTTGTAATTTTGCTCTCCTCTCGTCTCTTATATTAATCCTCTCAGTCTTCTCTTATTTTATTCTCAATGAGGACACCACCATGAAGATTCTAGAGCGGACTTGAAAGAAAAATGAAAAACGCAAAAACATTCGAGAGAGAAGTAATACTAAGCTAAAGAGTCGAAGAGCTAAAGAGCTTGGGCTCGGCCCAATAGTTGTTTTCATCCAAATAATGGTTAAATCATAAATGATATTTTTCCACCCACATATTTTTAAAATATCATTTTACTATCTAAATTTATATTCAATTCTTGATTCCGGCATCGTTGTGACCTGTTATCACCACAATTTTCTTCTCCAATCATCACTCACTAAAACCATGCAAACCATATTCTCGTCGATCTCACCAATCACTAGCAATCAAGATATTAGAGTTTGCATAGCCATCTCTCCCAAGTCAAATTATGACCAATTCCAACTATCAACAGATTTATTGGCCTCCTCTCTTCAAAAGCTCCAATAACCTGGACCAAATTTGTTTTATGTTCACTATAAAAATATAAATGTGAGTAATAAATTGACATTTTAAAAGTTTGTAGGTAGAAAAGTGTCATTAAACCATTATTTGGATGGGAAAAAGTCATTAACTAATACCACTTGATTTATATACACAGTTCATTAACAGGGATGGATTTAGGATTAATATTAGAGTGGACAAATTTAAAATAAATAATATAAAATTTGTCATAAAAATAATATTAGAGAGGGAAAGAAATATTATTTCTAAGTTTTACCTTTTAGTTGACTTCTAAATGATAAAATACATATACAATATATTTAATTAATAATATACTCATCTTCTTATATTATATCAATTTAGAAAAAAGACAAATATAAAGGAAATCAATAAATAAAAAATTGAGTAGGGTTGTCAGCCCCCACTCGCCCCTTCTTAGGTCCGTCCATATGGTCTCCACGAGTTCTAATGCCTCTTTTTCCACTCAAGCGACCAAATTAAGTTTTTGCACAAAACTCAGATCAATCTAATTAAACTTTTGCCTCACAAGAAGACATTTTAATCTGAAAATTTTATGTGAGTTTAATGTAAGATCTTACAAACTACCACTGGATGACTGGATAGTTAACTAGAATTTTTGAGTATATTACTTAAGATGTCCTAAGTTCTATTCACTTCGACCCTTAATAAATGTGACCACTAAAGGTTTATCTGGTTGTTAAAAGTCATCGTCCTAACTTACTGTTTAAAAACAAGGCAGTTCAAGAATGAATAACCCACATGGGCAGGTCTTAGAACTTCATAATAAATTGCTGAACCAATACAACTTTGTCGGTTGAAGACCAATTGAAATTCATAAAACTGTTATTCTGTGCCATATGCTTCAATGATCTCTAATTCAAGATCTTAGCTAGGTTGATACATATATAATTAACAAACTTGACAATACATATCACTGAAATTAGCAAACTTGCACGTTTAGAGAGCAACTAATCCATCATAATCCCAAACATTAACTCAAACATTCATCTAATAATGCGATTACGAAGTCAGATCTAACTGTGACAATAGATCACCTAAATATAAAAATCAGTTCAAGAACAACGCATCAGCAGAACCAAAAGCCCCAAATCTAATGTAATATTTCAATAAATGAAAAACTCCAAAGAAGTTATTTAATAAAAATGAATAAACGCGGTAGATATAGAGAAATAGAATTCGATGGATCAATCCTCCATTAAGCTAATGAAATCAACAAACAACGACAATACAAATTTCAAATACCATGGTTTTCCGACTATATCGACAATACAAATTATTTACCACATTCAAATATGCTTGTTTCTGAGATCCTTACTAATGTTTACAGTAAGCTGACTTTACATCCTGCAAAAAGTTCATATGTTCTTGCTTTTACAAATGATTTTTGATAGCTTATAAGTATTTTCATTATTATAGGTCTTTCAACATTAATTAAATCTCTCATAACCATTTCTTCACTATTTATTTATCACAATGATTTGATATATTACTGAAGGCAAAACCAAGCTATTCTTGAGTAATTCATTCCAAGCTTGTTACAAATGTATCCGATCGGGAACCTCTAGAGACTTGTAAGAACATTTGCTAGCTAGTTGATAAGTTGCATAATTTGAGTGTTTTTAGGGTTGTTTTGATGTTAGTTTAGTTAACTTCTCATTTGTTTCTTTGTTTTGATTTGTTTTGTAAGTTTGAATATGAATGGTTACCTATTGATTTGGATAACTTTGTGTTTTTTTTTAGCTTTGATTAGTAGATTGGAGTATTGGAATGAAATTGGATTAAAGCTTGAAGAAGTTGAGATTACCTAACATTCTTGAAGGCCACAGCCATGCCTTGTATTCACCATGGCCATGGTGGTGGAACAAAGAGACCAGGAATCACAACGGCCTAGGTTGCGTGACTTAATTTGGCCACGCCAGGTTGTGGCGGAAAATATTAGGGCGTTTTTATTTTTTCTTTCCTTTTTCACTTAGGATTCTTTTGGGATTTAAGTATAATTGAGATCATGGTCAAGAGAATTTTCACTATTTTTGAGAGGGAAGACGCATTCTTGAGGCTTGAAGACTGAAGATCAGATTTAGAGTTTGATTTTTTTTCTTTTCAAGTCTAATATGTTCCTTCTTCTCTATTTATTCTTTTTTCTTAGATGGATTAATCTCTTTTGTTAGGGAGGATAAAACCCTAATTATGTTTGAACATTTTTATTCTTAATACCAGATTTATGTTATGAATTTGTGCAAGAGTTAGGTTATTGCTTATGAATGTTGGATTGATTCAATTACCTTAATATAGTTTCGAAAAAGAAGTTGGTTTATTGCTTAATTCATATCTAATTGTTTATTGGAATAACATTGCACAACATATTAAAACTAGAAGTAATCGAATAGAGATTCTAGGATTAATTTGTGGTCCATCAATTCAAACAAATAAGGAATTAGTCTAAGGGATTGATGAATTTATGCTTCTTAATCTCGAGTAACCGAATAGGGATCTGTATTAAGTTGAATATTATGCCTGAATAAGGATAATTGGCCTTAGAAGAATCCTACCAATTCATAGCACAAACGGGTATTAAGAGTAGTTGTCAAGCACAATTAGGGGGAAATATGTACCCTAACTTCATTAATACTGCAAAGTTCTTCACATTGTTTATTTGTTTAATTTAGTTATTTTTAATCCGTTACTTTTACACTCTAAGATTTCATTTTCTCAAATAACGTGTAGATAGTTTTAAGTAATTACAAATATTCACTTTGATCTTTGTGGGACGATACTCAAACTCATCTCTTTATTATTTGAACATGACTAGTGCACTTGCTAAGGTTGATTTAGTCGCATCACTGGTCATTTGAGTTGACAAAACTGGTTACAATGCATCCGGATTCAATCTTCTATTGGATAAAATGACAATCAACCTCTATATGCTTTGTTCTTTCATGAAAGACCGGATTTGAGGCAATATGTAGAGCAACTTGATTGTCGCATATTAGTTTCATTTGCTTCACTTCACTACACCTAAATTCTTGAAGAAGTTGTTTCAACCAGATGAGCTCACAAGTCGCGAGAGCCAAAGCCTAATATTCTACTACCTCTACACTTGATCTAGCTACTACATCTTGCTTCTTACTCTTCCAAGATATTAGATTACCTCCAATCATGATACGTTATCCAGAAGTAGATCGTCTATCTAATGGAGACCCTACCCAATCAGCATCAGAATACCCAACAATTTGAGAATGACCCCTATTTTCATATAGCAAGCCTTGTCTTAGAGCTCCTTTTATATACTTGAGAAGGCGAACTGTTGTGTCCCAATGACCACTACATGGGGCCTAGAGAAATTAGCTAACCACAATAATTGCAAAAAGAGATATCTGATCTGGTGATCGTGAGATAATTCAACTTACCAACCAATTTTCGATACCTTCTAGGGTCTTCTAATGGCTCCCCCTGTCCAGGAACAAGTTTGACATTGGGATCCATAGGAGAATCTACAAGCTTACAGTCGAACATACCTATCTCCTCAAGAATGTCCAAGGCATACTTCCTTTGTGATATAGCAACACCAGCCTTAGACTATGCTACCTCAATCCCTAGAAAATACTTTAGCTTCCCCAAGTCCTTGGTTTGAAAGTGGCTAAAGAGATGCTGCTTTAGTTGAGAAATCCCATCTTGGTCATTACATGTTATGACAATGTCATCAACATAGACAACCAAGTATATAAATTTACCATGATCATTACGGCGAAAAAATACTGAATGATCAGCTATACTTCACGACATCCCAAACTGTTGAATCACAAAACTAAATCGTTCAAACCATGTTGTAGGTGACTACTTGAGACCATATAAAGACCGACGTAGAGGACACACCAATCCTGACTCCCCTTGAGCGACAAACCCTGGCGGTTGCTCCATATACATTTCCTCGGCAAGTTACCATGCAAGAAGGCATTTTTAATATCCAACTAATGAAGAGGCCATTGATACATGGCCGCTAAAAAGATAAGGAGGTGTACCGAAGTAATCTTAGCAACAGAAGAGAAGGTATCACTATAGTCGAGCCCATAGATCTGAGTGTACCCCTTTGCAACAAGGCGAGCCTTTAGCCGATCAACTTTGCCATTAGGACCAATCTTAACAGTGTAAACCCAATGACACCCAACAACAGTCTTGCCTGGCAGTAAGGAAACCAACTCCCAAGTACCATTATGATCGAGAGAAGTCATCTCCTCAATCATGGTAGCTCTCCACCTTAGATGTGCCATTGCCTCGCTAAGAGTATTAGGTATAGGGATAGAAGACAAGTTTGAAATAAAGGCAGAATAAAATGGAGATAAACGATCATAACTAAGAAAATTATAAATAGGATGTGGGTTTCAAAAAGATCAAATACCTTTCCGAAGGACAAGTGGAGGAGTTACCTCGTTTACAGGAGACATGACCGGAGCAGGCGACGGAGGAATAAGAGATGGGTCATCGGGATTGACCGAGGTACCTGTATCAAGAAGGGAAGTACCATTGGGATTAGTAGGAGGATGAGGACGACGAGAATAAACTTGGAGAGGAGGACGATCCATCGACGACGAAGGAGGGATGGGGATAGGTAAGGTGGCAGGGATAA